ATAAGGTACTTGATAAAGTACTGTTCAACCTTCCACAGACTGTTCCTGGAGCAGGGCCACACGCCGTGGCAGTGTCCCTGTTCCCCTGGGATGCGCTGCGGGGACTCTCTTCTGACCCCGTAACATTGCTCTGACATTTTCAAACCTCTCAGACACCATCAGAGGTATCATTCTGGAAATGGCTTTGGCTGGCCTGAAATAGAGTAAAAATGTTTTCCAGGTTGCACAGCTGCCCCTTGCCGGTGGCCCCAGCCTGAGCAGCCATCCTGGCAGGGGGCTCGGGCATCAGCCAGCTGCTGCCACCTTCCGGGTAGGGGACCGCCGGGCCGCCTCTGCGGCACCGGACACTCCGTGCAAACCGCCAGAAATGGCCAGACTGGACAAACACATCTCCCGGGTGATGGCTAAAGCAGCGTGCTGAACTGCGACACTCAAACACTCTCCCCAAAGAGCAGCCGGGCTCGGTGCAGCAGCTCTCCCTACGCACGACAGCAGGGATAATTTTAGAGATGATTATCCTGTGGTTTTAGTACTGTGGCAGAAAGGGGTATTTTATGCCTGTTGGAGTGAACTGACTGCGCTCTCTCCCAGTATGTTTTTAGCACGATGGTTATGCTTTTTAGCCACTTACAAATTCAGTGCCCTTCTGCGCAAAGCCTGTTTCGTCTCTTGTTACATGCAAAGTCACCCAGCCCTGTGGGGAAATCATAATAGAAAGAAAGTGTATTTTTTATCATTAAGCCCTCAATTTCAATTTAACTTAAAAATTTGTTAAGTTACAGATTGCTGAAAAACATCTATTTGGAGAACAATACCAGGGCATGCTCTGAACACCAATGGGATGCTGCACGTTCAGCTGTTCATTCAGGACTGAACGGCTCCATCCCTTTGTAACTTGGTTTAAGAAGGTTCTCTTAGCGAATCTACCACCTTTTGTCAATATTTATAGCGAAGGTGTAACTGAAACCAGGGATATAGCCATTTGTGACAGTGTTTCTTGTTCATCTTCCATGACATCTGGATTATTTGCATGAAGGGGTGATGTTCTTCTCCCAAGTTCATTAACCTGGAAGTCAGTTTGCATTT